TCTTTTTTTTATTTATTTTATTTATTCTATTTAAATTATTTGCTATTTATTTTATTAACCAAAAACAATTTTCTTTTTATCAAAAAATCACTAAAAAATATTTTATGTCCAATTAAAATTAGACTTTTATTTTTCATCAAAAATCAATTAAATTAATTAGGCTAATTTTTTAGATAACTTTAATTTATTTTTTCAAAAATTAAAATTAATTAGAATCAATAGGTTTTTATTACTAATTTAATTATTTTATTTCATTCCTAAAATAACAAAAAAACCAAAAATATGTCATTTAATTATTTTTCATTAATTAATTTAGAATTTAATTTTAAGATTTAATCTCTTTTCTTAAAAAATATTAAAAACAACAAAAACATTTTCTTTTAATTAGGAGGGTCAAAACCCTAGTTTCGCATTCGATTCAATTTTCTCGCGCGCTTTATTTTCCTTTATCCAATTATTCTATTTGCTCCCGGTTCATAATAATTAAATTAGGGCATTTATTTATTTTTACCGCTTTTAAATTTCAAAGGGTTTGTTTTTAGCGATGTAAATACCCGACGCCTTGTAATATCTTAGTTTAAATTCCGTACCTTAATTTCTACAAATATTCAACTGCTAGATGTTTGATAATAGGGTTTGCATGACAAGAATGAATGACTAAATTTAAAATAGTTAGATCACCCTAAACATGTTGTTGCACCCCAAAATTTGCCCTCCTAATTGCACTTTTTTGGCTTAGACTTTTGCATTCATCTGCATATATTTCATTAGGTCACTAACATGGCATACATTTCATTCAATATAGCTCTGAGGTTCAAAGTTCAGTGGTTGTGCGATACTAGGGTTTCACAGTGGTTAAGACGCTCGTATCCAATAAAGGATGATTTCTTATTCATGCAACAAGCTTTGGAATTAGGTTTTTTTTAGGCTCATTTCTGGACTTCTTCTCCACCAAGTTACTGGGCTAATATCTTTTGATGAACAACTGGTTGTAGGTCATCCTGGTCAAGAACTCTAGGACGTGACCTAGCATATGTGGACTTTGAAGCATGGAATCCTTTCCTATAAGTATGCTTGTCATTTGATTAGGATTAATGACTGTGACATGACATTCATCTACTCATCAATTAATCAATTTAGGTTTTGTTGAATCATGGTTCAAAGATGTTTTATCCGGATATTTCTCTGTGCATCTAAACAGGGAATCAAGATCGTGAGGTGTGGTTAACATGATTTGTTTCTCTTCAAGATATAATTGCTTTTATCCAGTCTTGGCAAGTGCTGGGGTTTTCATTTGTGCAACTAGGTTTCACGTCAAGGGAATTATTCTGTGATTCAGACTTTATCATCCCTCTGTAAGATGTTCCTTATGACGCTAATTTCAAGTTGAAATAACCGATCGCTAAGGGCTGGGGATTGAATTGTGAAGCGTGGTTCGTGACCTAAGATATGAATTCATAGATTTCTCCTTAACCAAGGCAATCATTATCCTCATCATTGTCATTTGTTATCTGCGATGCGAGTAGGTTGGGATTGAAGTGGGTTTCTCAGGAAAGAATTCATGCAAGGTAATTAAAGGTTCAAGGCATTCAAGGCAGGGTTTTGTTCAACATGGCATACCTGGTTGATGGGCTTACAAGCTCTTATGAGACCTTGAGATGCATAATCATGGGCCAAGTTCAAAGATACGAGGATAAGATCTGTTGACTTCGGTTAAAGTAAGCTTTGAACAATTAACTTTGGGGCCAAGGTCTCCCTTGAAATTTTCATCTAATATGTGTTGGGAATTCGAGTTGCATTTGAAGAATAGTATGGTAAAGGAAAAGAAATATTGGTTCAGAAAAGGAAGATTTCATTAAAAATCAGGGTTTCTATTCATTGATAAACGTTCAAGTAATTGAAGATCAGGGGAAATAAGGTCATGTTAATCTCGATCATGTTCTTTCATTATCATTTGTGTACATCTTTGATGATTAAAGGTCGTCAATTAGAGAAGGGCCTCGTCGAGATAAGAAACTTGTGGATTAAAGGTCGTCAAGGTTGTGAATTTTTAGGATCAAGATCTTATTGGCTATTCGAATTATTTGTCATTCAAGTTGATTTGGGTTCAAGATTGAAGTTAGGAGTTCATTGAGAATGCAAGTGTGATTTGGATTTGAAGTTTGATTTGAGTTCAAGATGTTCGAAAGTGTTTGATTGGATTAAAGTTGGCAAAGAGCCTTAAGTATTGGTCATATGAGTTTCTTGGAAGGTAAAGTACAGACTGCGAGGTCTCGTTTCAAGTCGGAGTTCATACGCATTACAAAGACGTTCATCGTTATTCCAGATTCAAGTTGACATGTGTTCAAAGTTTATTCGAACCCTTTCATTCATGATTCAAGAAAATACTATCCAATTCCATTCAATTTCATTCAAGTGTAACAATACCTTACAAGAAAATTTGATGCTTTCATATCTTCAAGCATTTTTTCAAGACTTTGTCATTTAAACTCCGTCCAAAAAAATTCATCACCCAACATTTCAAGCTCAAAGGTCATTTACAACTCACACTATAAATTTCAAGTTCATCCAAACCAAACATTCATTATAAAATCATTACAATCCCATTACACCAATATTCTACAAAGAAAAAAAAACTGTTACAAAATACACTTGAACAAAATTCTTTAGTCCTAAAGGTGCTAAAATTCCATGAGTAAACTTCTAATTCCATGCCATGTCAAAGTTCTTCATCTTCAGTTCATGACCTGCACATTCATACAAAAAAAATCCAAGTCAATACAAGCAATCATGCCAAAATATCCTATGCTCATACAAATTACTCGATGCATGAAAAACCATTAATTAACCCAAACCAAATGCTAAACACATATATGGAACAACCTGCATACCTTAACTTTGGCAGAGAATAGGTCCACATCATTCAAACTAACTGCAATTGAAAGGAAAATCAAATTCAGCTTCGGAACAATGTCCAACAATAACCATAATCACATATGTCCAATCGCAGCTACTTTTATTCATGCTCTTGTTGCTAAATCTATGTCAAGAAACTTCAGGGCTAATACAGTTTGAAGCCTCGTTAAAATGGAAACAAAATCTCCCTCTGGAATTACAGAACAAGTGGTGTGTGGGACTAGTGGATGAGGTGCAGTTAGTTTCTCATTTCCTTCAAAAAATGGTGCACACACTTTCTCTAATGGCTTCTCACATCTACCCTTCACCCCTTGCCTTCCCCACAACACATGTCAAGGAGTGTCAAACTTTTGCACCTTCTTCTTTAGCAAAACCAGATATGCTCAATTGTCAGTATCCTTTTCTTAACTCAAGTCCATTTGGAGAGCCCGTTAAAACCCGAAAAAATTGGTTTGATGAAACTCAGTTCGTCAATGTTGATTCCTCGCCCCAATGGCATGTATCAATTGATGCACAAGAATCCTATTCAAATGCAGTACTTTTAGGCTTTGGCATTGTTGAGCAATGTACTAAGCATGATACAGTTTCAAATCTCCTAAAATCAGGAACTGCTGAGTCACGGGTAGATGGTACAAATATATCCTTGTTATTAGACTTGATGAAATTGCAGTTGTCAGCCATTAATGAACCTCACCAACCATTCTCATCTGACTCGTCGTCTCTTTTATACCTTAATGACAAATTCAACATCAAGAAACCTTTTCTGTATTTTCTTCAAGATTCTGCACTTACTTCAAAGGTTACGGTTCATCTTGATGGCCAAATCACATTTATGGGTGCTGAAATTCAGATGAAAGATCTTCTTCCTGTAGTTGCTGAGTCATATTTGTCAAAGAGATTACATAAGGGTGAAAGGCTCTCAGTGCTTGTTCCACACTTCAGCAGGGTGAATATCAGTGAAGCAGAAGTACAGAGGCATTCATCTACAATGAAGATCAAAGCTACCTTAACCGCTCCTTTAAGGAGTCCTGAGAAAGTCAAACTCAAACCATCAAAAAAAAGATCATAACAAACTTAGTTCCAACTTATGTCCTAACAGTTTTATAAATTCCATAACAAATTTCTAACCAAAATTTCTAACAGAATGCAAAATTTTCTAACTAACTCTAAACAGTTACTAACTCCTAACCAATTCTATAACTAACTCTAGATAACCAACTAACAATAACTAACTGCTTTCTAACAGATTTTTGATAGCTATATAACAGGGGGAGATTCATTATTTTTTAACTCATGCATAATAGATTTAACTATACAAACTTACCAATTCACATTGATTCTTTAAAATCTCTGCAGAAGAATCACCAAAAAACTTTCTCTCCTCCTCTCATCCTCATCTTCATCATTCTTCAACACTCCTTGGAGAATCACCAAAAAGAGATCTGAAAATTCTCTCTCTCTCTCTCTCTCTCTCTCTCTCTCTCTCTCTCTCTCTCTCTCTCTCTCTCTCTCTCTCTCTCTCTCTCTCTCTCTCTCTCTCTCTCCCGCTGCTTCATTCTTCACATTCTAAAGAACCATACAAGAAAAACCAGAAACTTCATTCTTCAAATCACTCTCTCTCTAAAATCAGAATGGACCTTCCTCGTTCTCCAATTTCTGGAAGAATCACCAAGAATGTCAACAAATTCTCTCAGCTCTCTCTACACAATTCTTTAATCTTGCATCATCATCTTCATTCACCTTCTGCAAATTGCAAATCTCCATAACCGTAAACTTCGATTTTCATCATCCTTTACAAACCTTCAATCACAACCCCCTCTCTGCATCAAAACAGAACACATCAACGCTTCGATCGACATCACTACACTTTAACCTGCTTCACAACACAACTTATCTGCAACAAAATCGCACAAGAACCGCAACAAAAATGCAAGAAGAAGAAGAAGAGAATCTCCGGGGAGGAACGAAGGAGATTAGATGAAGTGAAAGCTTACTCGGATTAATCTATTCTCTGATCTTCGCAGCATCGTCCTCGCGATTGAAAGAAACCACCGGTGTTGCTCCGGTAGGTAAGTTGCACTAAACTATGAATCTTTGCGGTTGCTTTCATCGTTTTCTCTATTCCTCTGTGCAAATCTGTAAGGGATGATGAGTAGAGCTGAAATCAGAACTTCACCGTTGGTGTTCGATTTGGAACAACTTGAAGATCGTCCATTCGATGAAGATGGAGACGAACACAGGCGGCGGCAGAAGCGGAGATGAAGAATGGAGAAGGTGAATTTGTGCCGCTTTGAGAAAGTCGGATCGTGAACTCCAATTGTCATAAAACTTTAAAACCCTATGTTATCTAAAACGCACGGTTCCAATCTCTCTTCCCCTTTTGCAATCATTATTTTTGTTGTTAATTGTTAATTTTTGTTTTTACCTTTGTTTATACAATAAAAAAATCAGTGAGAAGATATTGGACTGGATCGGATCACACATTGCCTTGGTCCAATGGCATTTTTGGTAGCTTCTCAGCTTGTGAACAAAAAGGGCTTATGGACTCATGCAATTTGGGCTTAATACTAGAATTCTGATTGTTATTTAGTACCATTGTCTACAGTTTGCACTCCCCTCTGACTCACTTTTATTTCCCCTTTAATTGTAGTTTTAGTTTCACTTTTCTATCTATATTTTTTTATTATGAAAAAGGTAAGAATAATAAGCATTCTAATTGATTTTAGATTTTTCTTTAGAATTTGTTTAGAAATCTTTTAGAATCTAGTTTGTTTATTATTATCATTTTGTAATCTTTTGTTAATGTTTAATAATCTTTTGCTGTTATTTTAGCCATGATTTTTGGTAGGTTTTAATGCCAATTCTGTGTGAGATTATGGGATAAAAAGAGACTTGGGTTCAATATGTTTCGAAACAAACTAAGAGTGCAATCTCCATTGAGAAATATTTAAGAGGCCTTTGGTATAGTTATCTCATCGCTTGTGTGGCTTTGAAGAGGCAATGAACCTTCTCTGTTAGCGTTGGTGCTTCAGAAGTTATAATGTCAAAACTACTTCTATTGAGCGTGTTACACGAATTTGCTTGATTTTGTGATATAGCGTCGATGTAATTCTTGCAATATGGAATGCTTGGAGATTAAGTCTATGATCACTCATGCGGAGCAGCTTTCGGTAGAGTTTTCTTATCACTTGTGTGACTTTGAAAAGGCAACGGACCTTCTCTGTTCGGTATCATCGTGGCCTTATTTTATCCCTCATTTCGCACTTTATTGCATTTCTTTATCGCAAACCATATGCATGCTAACAATAGGTAGATGTTTTTCTTTCACTCATACTTGACTTAGGTCTAACAATGCATGATAAAATTAGAGTTAGAAATAGGCTGGTCTCCCTGTGACTTTTCTTCCTTTTTTTGTATATGCAGTTAAAACAAAAACTTCTCCTTTTTTACAAACTTCAAAAGCACATAAAAATTTACTGACGAGAATCATATCTTCGTTAAGTATGTGAGACGATAAGCGGGTCTCTTCTCGACCTTATTGATCTATTATTCTAAGATTTGGTGTGGTTCAAGTCTCAAAGACTCATTTCATGAATAAGTAGAGACGTGGCTAAAATCTCCCCCTTGAGATCAACTAGCTATTCTCTACAAGCGAAAAACACCAACAAACATAAAAATATTTTTTTGCCTTCGGGCCTTCCTTTCAAACTCTTTTCAAAAGAGCATATTAATTCACTTCTGTGCTGACGCGTAAGTCTCCAACGGTCGAGTTGCGGCAGAAGGCGAAATTACTACCGTTCATTCAAAAACAAACAAGTTCAAACCTTTTTTGTGCGTCCAGGCACATTTCTTTCCAAACTTTTCAAGAGAGCATGTTAATTCACTTATGTGCTGACGCATAAGTCTCCAAAGGTCGAGTTGCGGCAGAAGCCGAAATTAATATTGTTCAGTAAAAAAAATACAAATAAACAAAAACATATGAGCCGAACTACGGTAGCTCTGATTCCTCAAAAAGGATACGTAGGCATTGGGGTAGGGCCCAGGCGAGCACAATTTTATTTTCCCTACATTCTTTTTCCCCTTTCTTTTGCATGCATTCTCCCTTTAGCAGTAATAAACAGTAAGCATAGATTAAACACACCCATAAGATAGACAACAAGAGTGGATACCGTAGAGTACTACGGGCGTGTGGGGTGCTAATACCTTCCCCTTGCGTAACAGACTCCCTTACCCGATCTCTCGGTCGCAAGACCGTGACTTCTCCCTCATCATGTTTTCTCGATGTTTACCTTTCCCTACATGTGGGATAAAAGACGTTCGATGGCGACTTCATTGTTTTGATGATTTTCAGCCGGTTGTTTCAGCTGGCGACTTCACTGGGGAATGGTCGACCAAATGCTGGTCCATCCCGGAGTCGATCCTAGCTCTTGTTCTCTTTTCTTTGGGTGTTTATTTTTATGCTTTCAGTTTACTCATTTGTACAGGTTTGTCTGAGCATAAGTTTGCATTGCATTTTATTGCTTTCCCTATTTGTTATCTATTATGTTGGAATCTGTTTTCCATGTTGGGTGGGGATGTCATTGTTGAGGTAAAAGGCCCAGTACCCAGGCCAGAGTGCACTAGGACACTAGGAATAGAGTGGGGGCATGACGGCTATAGGACGTGGTCCGATTAGTGCAGTCTTGTCATATACCATGCTCGGATGAGGTTCAAATGGATTACTATCGGCACCCACGTCTGTGGGTAAGCCCATAGTACTTTCAGGCGGACCCGTGATTTTCGAGTTACCATTGTCTTACCCTGACCTAGTCTTCACCCGTGAGTGGCGAGGGATTTGTCATTACAAGTACAGTTGGTGACTATGTTCAAATGGTTACTCGTGCTCAGATGAAGACTGTGACTGAGCGGTGATTAGTGGTTCTAATGATTATGTTCTGGATTTCTGTCGGTGACTTATGCATATGGTATTCTGTTGGTGACCATATGGTTCTCAGATTTATTTTTTGAGTTCCTGACTTGCTTACTTGGAAGTTCATTCAAGCCTTTGATCTTGGTATTCCCAGCATACTCAGAAAAGCTCAAACAGTACCTGATGTTCCTGAAGCCTTGATCTCATGCTACTTATATCTACATAGTACTCGGCTTTTATATGTGCGGAAGCTATGTTGGACCTTTGATTTGATGATATTCATATGGTTCAGAATAACGCAGTAATCATATTTGGAAATGATGGAACCTTGATCCCATTTGATCTCATATTTGTGCATACATAACATGGCTAACCATATGCTTAACATACATGTCCTGTGATTTCCAAGGAATCGTATTTGTAAGCCTTGTGCCAAACTTTTCCATCTTTTACTTACATAAAATCAAAATCAAAGCATGTAAGTTCCTTGGAAATAACAGGACATAACATGGCATCTATTCATGCACTCCATGTATATTCATGCATCAATAACAGGTACTCAAAGATTGGGGATTCTTATTCAGACATGGTTCTCCGTGGAGGTTTAGCTTTGATTTCTTACTGCACTTGTTCAGGGATCGGTTAGGGAATAACTCCATATGGTATACCTACAAGCTTCGGCCCGTGGACAGAAATATCTTCAAGCAGGAAGATAATTGATTGAAAACTCAGATGAGTCGGGTCATGAAAGCTTTGATGACGATGTCAACAATATTGCACCTACTATCACAGTAAAGGTTCTCTCTTCTCCTCATCTTTTGGGAATTGCTTACAACCATGGAGTGCTACGCAATCCTGAGTTCTTAGAACATCTTATCAGGAGATGGTTCCCGTTTACTATGTGATCTTATATCAGTGCTTCGTTCTTTTTGACCAACGTCAGATGTGGTCGCCACACCGGGGCATCCGACTTTTTAATCAGGGGCATCCTCCATAACTTTGTATTCCCTAATCTGTTCAACAAGAGCCAGTCTTTATTCCCCAAGTAAATCCAGGGGCAAAGCTTTTAAGCCAGGAGACAAGAACCTTGATAAGCATGCTAATGCGAGCCCAATGCATTACATCCTATTATTCCCAGCTCTTCCTAGCTCTGATTTTTGAGGTCTTCCTACCACAAACATCTCTTCTGATGACGATATGTATGCTTGATACATCTCCTATTCTGGGGTACCCGGTTTTGATATGGAAGATTATAAAGGGGTTGAAATATAAATCCCAGCACCTGTTCAGCGTCTCTTCCAAGGTCCAATTCCTCTTTGGCTAACTGCCACACTCTTTTTCATCAGGGGGATGTCTCTTTTATTCTGATAGAAGACAAACTATATTTTTGTGTGGCGTAGTATGCCTGATAATGCGGCACATATCGTTTCTCTTGGAAAAGCATTCATTTGTTCTCCTGAAAGAATCTAGACGCATATTATACTGGGGCACCTGGCCAATCGATTGAAGATGGTACGTCATCCGGAGACAAGACCCAAGACAAGATCAATCCAGAGATTGTAATGTCTAAATCATATCAGAGGGAGAATTTTCTCACTCACCTCATGCATCTTCATGCATCCATAGAAGGTACTCAGAAGGTACTCAGAATGGGGAATCCTTATTCGGATTCAGTATTCTCTTTTCAGAATTGCCAATCTTGACTTCTCGCTGCTTCGTGATCAGATTCAATTTATGAAACAACTTTGTCAGGAATTGGGTGAGATAAAAAGAATCAGTTGGGGTTGTTTATCATGGACATGCAAGTAATAGCCTGCAGTCAGAAATCCTTAAGGGAGAAAGGACAAACAGTTGAAGACTCGGTTGAGTCGGGTATGGAATTTGTGAAGGCAGTGTCAGCAAGGGAAAGTGATCATGTATATGTTATTGCAACAGGAGTTGTCACTCATCCCCAGCCTATGGGACTTTTTTTATCATGAGATACTTTGTGGGTCTCACCCAGAGCTTCGTGTTCTCGAATTTACTTGCTAGCAGCTAGTTTCTGATCTCCAAGTGAACTCATGAGGTAAAACTTACCAGCAAAGACAAAGAAATCTTGAGAGGCAGGTTGATAAAATCTCTATACCTTGTATCCAGTTACTTCCTTGTATGTTGGAAGCTCAGTTGATTAAGCTTCGTGCTTTGGGCCATCCTCCAACAAATTTCTCTCCTGATTTCGATACAAATGCTAGATGTGTCTCCCATTCTGGGGCATTTAGTTAGGATATTGAATACTGCAAAGGGTTGAAGCATGAAGTTTGGTACTTGTTTGGCTTCTTTTCCAAGGTTCAGCCCATTGTTTGGAGAACCATTTCAGGCTCTTTTTTTTCCCCAGCTGGATGCTTCTTATGTGTAAGTATAAGATGGGGTGATGCT